ATATTTTCATAATTAGGAGATCTTTCCCATTCCGGATCGAACAATCATTTTTCATATTTCTTGTCTATGTCCATAGTAATTGCACATCGGGAGATGTAGGGATTGACACGTCTTACACATATTATCTGTGTTTTAGGATGGAGAGGACATAATGTTTTTATTGCTTTGAAGAAATTCATTAACCCCTAAATTAATAAATGATTACTATTATGATGTAAAGGAAGATGAGGAATTGGATGGAATGTATTTTATATTCTATTTTCTTGCAAAATACAGACACTACTACTCTGAAGCCCAAGACCAAATCAATGAAGATTTGTCAAGTATTAGCCGCTATTGCAAGTTACATAACCTCAAGCTCAACCCATCGAAGTGTAAAGCCTTGCTATTTGGTAATATCAAAATAAGAGCAAATCTTATAAGCAAAATTGACGTTCAAATCGAAGGAAAAATCATCCCTTATTCAGAATGTGCCAAAAGTTTGGGCTTACATTTAGATGAAGACCTGAGGTTTGAAAAACACTTACAGCACGTTTTGAGACAATGTTACGGTTCGCTCCGGCTTCTATTTGCAAACAGTTGCATCACTGGTAAGCGATTGAAAAAACAGCTATGTGAAAGCTTGGTATTGTCTAAGATTTCGTATGGGCTAATAATTTATTACCCCTGCCTAACTGCTGCGAATAAAAGACGTCTACAGATAATGCAAAATACTTGTAGTAGGTACATAAATAATTTGAGGAAATTTGATCATATATCGCATACGTATTCTGACCTCAATTGGTTTACTATAGATAATCTATACAAATATTCTGTTATAAGTTCTGTGCATCGTATTTTACTATCCGCATCACCCCCATACCTGTTTGAAAAATTTATTACCAGATCCAGCACGCATAATATTAACACAAATCATCAGGCTTTCTTTATACTGCCAGTCCACCGTACTGTTTCATATTCAAGAACTTTTATTTACAATGCCGTTAAATATTACAACAGTATTAATTTTCATTTTAAAAATATTGTGAATATTAAAACCTTTAAATTAAAATTGAAGTCCGATCTTCTCTCGCAAACATGAATTGCCACTTATATTTATTGGTTAATGATGGTTGATTTTTTAAAAAAAAAACCTTTGATCACAGTTTTGTTGGTTTAAAACAAACCGATTTAAATGTATGTACCATAGTTAATGTCATCCATTTCTATGTAATTTCGTATAAATTATCAAAATGGGGTTAGGTGGAAGAATAGTTCACGCTAAACTTCGCCCCTCGTAATGTACTAAATATTTAGTGCAATAAAGACCCTTTATTATTATTATTATTATTATTAAATCCACACTATTCAACAGGTATGTAATGATAACTTTCAGTATATTGAAGTTGGTAAATTCGAGAGTGCCATGCATTAACAAACCTCCAAATCTGCTGCCAAATTTAACAGCTAGAAAATCGACCTATTATTTGCCGCATTCCCATTCGCTGAGGGGGATAACGGATTGTTAAATGTAAACCTATAACATACATGTATATCAAAATACATGAAAGTTGTCCTGTTTTTTCTGTACAAAAGCATCATGTTGGATTCAAAAGGTGGTCTTGTTTATAATACAGTCGAATTTTCACGATTTCATTCAATATTTTAACAGAAATCACTGATATTCAGAGACCTTTGACAGCTTCCGTCAAATTGCATTTCGATAAGGTATTTTCCTATTGGTTCAACTGACCGTCAAATATTAATGTTGGTGAAATTGGCCCTAAGCTGGTAGCGTAGCGAACAATTAGGCCTGATTTTGACTCGAATTAGGCCAATGAGAAGACGTCTTTGAACTAATTGATCTAATGAATTTGGTGGATTTGTTGTCAAATGTCTCTCATACTAGAGAAAAGTTATACGATTTGTGTAAAATGGGTTCCTAATTCTCATAGTCAATCAAGAGATACTTCATGAAAACAGTATCTTACTGTTGCTGTACAAAGTTGTGCTTAATAAATTATTTGAAGACATAAATCAAATTAATTTATTCTTCAACATACATCGAGTAAATAATCAGTTTACTTGACTAATGTGCGAGAAACCCTATTTCCAGGCCCGCTCTATTACAGTTAACAGAGCGATGTACCGCACTCTACTGGACAGTAGGATGACTACACGACCACATGGCGCCCCGATGATGGTGGCAAGCCTAGAATTAGTGGTCTCACTGTGCAGTAGAGGGTGTGAGGGCTCCCTCTTGACAAGGCTGGCCTAAGGAACAGGGCTTATCACACGGTAGTCAAGTAAATTGAATATTTATTCGATATCAGAAGATCAAGGCCCACAGAACCTACTTACAAAACCCCACTGTAGAGAACAGACAAGCCGACGTCGCGTCCAGAAACAAATATAACGAAGCGGTTCGCAATGCCAAAACCCAGCATGATATAAAAGTTAGGCACAGGGTAATGTCGCAGCGCAATGGCAGTCGGTCTTTCTGGACGCTGGCCAAGCAGATTGAAAAGAACTTCTCACACAGTAGCCTTCCACCACTTACGTGTCAGGATGGAACTATTGTATTCGACTCAAAGGCCAAGGCGGAAGTGCTAGCCAAGATCTTTGCTGCCAACTCCACCATGGACGTCCCCACCAACGCCCAAGTGCCGTCAATTTCAAAGGGTTCCCCACACTATGCGGGAGGTAACATTCAGGCATAAGACCGTAAGACGAGTGCTCTTGTCGCTCGACATCAACAAAGCTTCTGGTCCGGACTTGATTCCTGCCATTGTACTGAAGAGATGTGCAGCTGAGCTTGCTCCAGTTCTTTCGCGTCTCTTCCAGATATCTTATGAATCCGGCACCTTCCCAGAAAACCGGAAATTTGCTCATGTACAGCCCATCCCAAAAAAAGGATCTAAAACCAACCCTTACAACTACAGGCCTATAGCTCTGCTTTCTGTTATAAGGAAAGTGATGGAGAGGTGCATAAATCGCGAGCTTCTGGACTACCTCGAACGTCACAGCTTGATTAGCGACAGGCAGTACGGTTTCCGGCACCAACGATCCACAGGGGACCTCCTAGCTTACGTCACGCAACTGTGGAGTAAACTCATCCAGTCTCATGGTGAGGCTCATGTCGTTGCTCTTGACATCACGAAAGCGTTCGATCAGCTGTGGCACGCTGCCCTCTTGAGCAAACTTCCATCCTACGGCCTCCCAGAAAAGCTTTGCAGATGGGTGGCTGACTTTATCTCTGGCCGCAAGATATCCGTCGTAATTGACGGATTCTCCTCTTCATCCCACAACGTCAACGCGGGTGTTCCCCAGGGATCCGTCTTGGCTCCAACACTGTTTCTCTTACATATCAACGACCTCCTTTCCTGCACGATCAACCCAATCCACAGCTTCGCTGATGACAGCACTCTACATGCAGGAATTCAGAGTGACAAGCCGATCTCTGCCGCTGAGCAGGAAAAAAGAAGACTAGCGACGACTTCTTCTCTGACAAGAGACCTGGAGGCTATCACTTCTTGGGGACGCAACAATCTTGTACAGTTCAATGCTTCCAAAACACAGTACTGTACTTTGACGAACAAAAAGCGTCCTAGCGCTCATACAGTTTCGATGGACGGGCGAGTTCTACCAAAGAACCATTCATTTCGGCTGGTCGGAGTCCAGATCACCGAGGACCTGATCTGGCACGAACACATCTCTTCAATAGCTGCAGTTGCTGGGAAAAGGCTGGGCTATTTGTTTAGGGCTAAGAAGTACTTTTCTCCGCATGACCTTCTCACTCTATACAAGGCCCAGATAAGGCCTAGCCTCGAGTATTGCTCACACATTTGGGGTGCTGCCGCCCCGACTACATTGTCCATGCTCGATTCTGTCCAGAGGAGGGCGGTCCGACTGATCGATGACTCTTCTCTAACAGACAGTCTCGGGACTCTTTCGCACCGGCGGGCCGTCGGCGATCTAGCTCTTTTCTATCGCTACACCAACGGGCTTTGCTCCTCAGAGCTCTCTTCCATGATGCCGCCGCGCGATGTGCCTGCCAGACAGACCCGCCTGACTTCGGCGTCCCATCCTAACCGTGTCAAACTTCGTACATCCAGAACTGGCCGATACGACCGCTCCTTTGTCCCGAGGGTGTCTAGATTGTGGAACAAACTACGGGAGGAAGCTTTTCCCAGTTCTACTAACCTTAGGCAGTTCAAAAATCGTATTAACAAAATTTCTTTGGGATCATCATAGCAGCCGCGGTGTTCCGGCATTTAGGCTTCTGCCTGCGCGGCTGTTTCGATATATAAAAAAAAAAAAAAAAAAAAAAGATATATCTTGGAGAATAAGCATTCTGTAACTTCATTTAGGTCCTCAAAGGATTTGTCAAGCAGAATTTCGTACAGCAACTGATGCACTGTTATTTTCAATTGAATGCGCAGTTAACTGCTGTCATATGAGTCTAGATATTGTAGCAGATCTGTGTCCATGTTTCGAGTATAGCGCGATTGCGTTTTCATTGCTGCATGTTTTGACCATTTCCGCTAATTTAGTGACTGGACGCAAATGAAAAAAATAGGCTTTTGTAGCTAAACCAACTGACGAATGACGTATTTCTTGATTTAATATGGGAGTTAGGGGCCCATCTTAAACAAATCGTATAATTATTCTCTAGTTTGAGAGACATTTTACAAAAAATCGGCCATATTCATTAGAGCCATTACTTCAAAGACGACTTCTTATTGGTTGAATTTGTAGCCAGGCGTTTATTAGCGCTCGGCTTAGTATAATCGGGCCTTAGTGTTCCCCTGATTGACGAGTCGCCCGTGATCGTGAGCGATACTTGACCGTTCATGGAGCGGGCTGTTATTTCAGGATAATCTGGGGTCGTAGGGAATTCCTACTTACTAACGTGAGAGTGTTGCCTACTACGGATTTGATATGTACCCATCTTGATGAAATGCGAGAAACACTGCCATGATGATGCTCAAAGAAAAGGTTGACCAGTTTGATCTGTAAAGACCAGAAATCCAGAATATCCCCACCACAGTTAGCAATTTATTGAGGAAAAGACATTCTGAAAAAAGTGTCTATCTACCTAGCTGTAAAGTCACCTAAGATTTCTACACGTCAATGTCCATCAAACTGCCACAACGTCATAACCTATTCGAGAAGCAGTCTTCCAAATCACCAGTGCTTGACCAAGATATTAAAATGCAGTCTAAAATGCCACAATCCAGACTTGCAAAAGGCAAACCCATACTACGCAGCAAAAATCCTTACGCGGATGTGAAAGCCAAGATAAATTCCTGTTTAAAAGGGAACTTGAGCGATAGTGGGAGTGTTAAGGCCTCCGAATCGGATAAAATTAAAGTTAGGGAATACCGATCCGTACTAGGTAAGGTACATCATTTATTTCAAATAAAGGGATCTTGTACCTAAAGTACTCTTGGGTTGGTCACCCATTCCCAATACAAAAACTAGTGGTATTGACAGAGCAAACCAGGCTTTCTATACATACATATATCCATAAATGAACGAAATGGACATGTTTGTTTATTCGTCTCTGCAACCATAATCAAACACGGACAGCGCTGTTTCGTGCTCATTAGCAACTTCTCTAGACTGGGTGCGCAAGTATACTGAATGACAAAAAAGGTAAACACCTACGTATGTTTATCCGATTTTAATAATTTTTTGAATATATGTTCAGTGTCCCTTACTAGAACAATGATTAAATTTTCAGCTTGATACATCAACTGACTGGTTCAATAATGTGTTTAGGATCCACGATTTCTTATACACTCATTGACGCGCCTGAGCATTGTGCTGATAAGGTGGTCGATATCCTGTTGGGGTATCTCATTCCAAGCTACTGCAACTTCGTGAGTAAGAGCTGCTGAAGACATGTTCAATTGGAGATAGGTCAGGCGATCGCGGTGGCCAACGTAAACGGTTGATGCGATGTTGATCGGATTTTGGATGGTGTGTAGGTATGGAATAAGATGAGCTCCACTACTTCCTGAATATGGCGTCGTTCTGTCATATTGCCTCTGTTGAAAATTAGTGGTGATCTGTTACCATAAGTAGTAGCACCCCATACCATAACTCCCACGGTGTGGTGAACATGATGCTCTCTGTCAAATTGTGGGTCACGTCTTTCTCCACGTCGCCTTTTCAATCTGCTCGACCATCGTGCATCCTCAGACAGAAGCGGGATTCGTTACTAAAGACCACCCGGAGGAAATCACGCACTCTAGGTATTTTGAGCAATCACAAAAAGGCTTCTCAATACACTACACGAAATTTAGCATTTAACTGACACCATAAATGTAGGAAAACTGAATGCTTCTTTATCACCAAAGAATACACCCAGCCACCACAAAAACTTAACAGAAAAGCCTGACCATCTTACCACTTATTGTTCATGGCAAGATAAATCGATACCTATAAATCTCTTTAATTCTAATAAACATACGTAGGTGATTGCCTTCAATATACTCATATATGAGATCAGAGTAAAGAAATTTAAAGAAAATAATATTTTATTCACCTGGACACTTAAGCTTTGCTGTAAGCTCGTATTATAATTTTAACATCGACGACCGAAATCAACAAAGCAACAAGATAATGACGGGAACGGCTCGCTGTCAAGTCTGTGTTCTTGGATTCGCTGGGCGTTAACGTGAGTTGGAGGAAATTTTCGTCGGATGCCAATAACCTACAACTTTTCACGAATCGGCTTCACAAACAGCATCACGTTCCATGGCCCACCCACCACACGGTGGGGCCGAAACCCGGAATGCCTAGCCAAAACATAAAAAACAAAAACTGCATTTAGTTTTTACTAATATCTTTCAGTTGTACAACCTCCAGAAAACAGCTACCGCGAGGTACGTAAGGTATAGTCGAAATCACGAAAGTTTACTATTACGTCATCATTTTAGTCTATAGTAAAGACAAACAACAGCGATTTGTGGATATTTTTAATGAAGTTTCAGATATGTTAAACAGAGACAAACAGTATTTTATTGTCTAAACAAACTGTATTGCTAATTTGCATGTATCCGACAAAGATAGACGCTGTTTTCATGTTGTATGATCGATCATATTTGAAAGATGAATAGTTAGGTTATGTTAAAGCAGGTTAGGTTGTTTTCGAATAATACTTTGGTCTTTGGTGTTCCTGTCTTAAAGTATTCTACTTTACTGTTTTTTTTTTCAAAACAAAAACTCTCTACTAAAATTATTATTAAGGTATCACTAAAAACCATGAAATAAAATGAAATATGAAATAATCAGTTAAACAACCTAACTTCGCAAAATCATAATATAAATTTGTTGCCATTCTGTTCCTGACATCGTGATTTTATCATCGACGTTCGTCCATTGATTACTTCAGTACGATTTATGGTATGACGTAATAGTCATCTTTCGTGATTTTAACTATAATTGTAAATTAAATCTCTTTATTTACATCACTGAATCTAGGATGCTGGTCCAATTGAATTAATGCTTACGAAATGGAGCTTCCATTATAGAAAAGAAAGTGGCCAGTTTTGATCTCCGTGAAGCAGTCTCTTTTTCCAAATCAATGCTTGTTGAAGAACAAAGTGAAATATTCAAATACATTTAAAAAGTTCCAACGTAGCCACAACTTCTCGTCACTCAAATTATGTTACCAGACCATTTCTTTAGCGGATATAAAATGGAATTTTCAGCGATTTTCATCAGCGCAGTATACTTGGGGGGCCATGGACCAAAAAAACTAGCCAAAACCTCAAAAACAAAAGCATTTATACTATATTTATAGTCATTTACGGCTTCTAGAACAAGAGCGTACCTTGTTGTAGATTTTATTATTAGTTTGGCTCACTGTATACACTGTATATAGAACCCTAGTGGTGCAATTAAATGACAACATTTTTTTTCTAAGTTGGATCCCTTATTAACGAGAAGGAGATGTTACATCTAAATTTCTATATATTGGTGATCATGTACAGTCTAATTCTCTTAATCAGTTGAAAATTCAGTATGACAAAAATTTAGCGAAAATTAAAAAACAAGCTGCCAAATCTTCTCAGCAACAAGACATTGTTGGCAGAATCCGCCTCTAATATGAAGCTAACGTCAATTTCGTCGAAACTTTGTGAAACAAGCAATAAAGAGTGAGCATCTGGCAAATCTAGTGAGGGAGCATGTGACGTGCATACATTTACACACCCTATAAAGATCCTCAAGTGATAGCCAATGAGATGACCGAAAACCGCCACCACGTACACCAACGATGGAGTAACGAAATATATTTATCCTAGCACGGGAATTCAACCAATACGACGACTCTAAGCATAAGTAATATACAAATACTATTGATAATAAGCCGATGTCCTTTGATATACTCAGATTTTCACAATCGTTTGTCTCAAGCTTCTTCAAATTCGTCTAAAAGAATCTTCATCCATTGAGATGTTTAAGCAAGCAAAGACGGAATTCATCTCCTCAGAAATTATCTACAATGCGTCCTACAGTGAGATTTTTTCTACAAAATTCAAAATAACCAAAACAGTATCATTAATACAATCAACAAATAGTTACATGGAAAAACCTAATGGACACAGTTTTCACCACTTCTTAGCGGATTATAGGTTTTGGCCAAGTTTTGTGGTATTTGGTCCCATTGTGCAGCGTATGCATCCATATGGCAACTTCTGATATGATTATTGCTTATCCGAACAATCCTTGTAGACCTCAGAAATCACTCAGATCGTGAACCACCCTCTCCACCTGTGAATACCCCACCAACCCCAACCCAAAGGTCCTCTACCACCACAGAGAAAACTCTAACCTCCAAATCAAAAAGCTGCATGAAGATTACAACTTACGCATGCACCCAAAACACCTTTGACACAGCTACAAGCATTATAACTGAAAGGATCATCAGCAAACAGCTAGAGCTGGAGAGGAATAAGCAATGTACCAGAAGGTTGCTGCAGCATCAAGGAAAGATGCCTGATAAGATTGACGACGTAGTTGTTGAAAGAATATTGGGTATAGTTTTATAAATTACTTGTAATTAATTAGATTTTGGGTATAAAGAAACACAGTTTCCTGTTATAAAGTTACCGACGTTTTAGAAAAAATTGTTTCCTCCTTCGGGGCTGTACAAAAAAAAATAGAGCATATACACTCATTTACAATTTAAATCATAGAAGTAGAAGGTCCTCTTTCTGGTTAAGACATTATATAAAGTGGGCCATTTGAGCTCATACCCGGATTACATTAACAAGCAAGCCGTTTCCAGCATATACAGACAAAAAGAAATTAAAAATAGATCAAAGATAAAACGGCTAGATAGATATTTAAAGAACGAATAAGAATTCTTTTCTCTGATCTATTATATAAAAAAAGAAACTATATCTAACTGACCCTCTTACATCGAAACTATAGAGGTCAAAAAATAATACAGCATCTTAGATATCATTTAGACTGCAACTAATCAATATATCAAACGAAAGACTATAACGAGGTAGAGCTAGACACAGTTTGATGGAATGGAGAAAGGTATTTCTAAATAGTAAAAGAGTAAGTTCTCTATTGTTTATTCTTTTTCTGATAGTCTAACACGGAACAAGCATGTTATTCGCTTTTTTAAATATCTTATATCTAATTATTATAAGATTGTTTTATTTTTTGTAAGTATGTGTGGTGAATTGCTATCTTATTAATATAATTCAGAGATAAGACAATAATAACGTTTATATAATTTTTTCACCAAAATAAGTATCTTTTAGTTCGATTTTATAATTTAAATTGTTAATGAATGTATATATATATATATATATATATATATATATATATATGTATAAAGTTTGATATTTTATCTCTGTTGACAGGTAACAAAGTGTTACTTTTTATAAAATTACTTTTGTTCCCCGGGAAAAAAATGAGTACTTTTCTACCGGATATTGTATAAACGATTTAGCTGGCTCATTTTTGTGACGCTACTTTAGCTACTTCTACTAATTCCGGTGAACTCAAAGCAAACTCGGAATCAGACATTTTTTTACTTTATAGTATTAGAAACAACTTCTAAGCAACCACTAAGTTCACAACTTTTAAATCATATCACAAAATTAAATTGTCAGCTACTTGATTATTTTAAAAGTTTCACATCGATAGTTTTCTGACTCAAATACTGTAGTAATATAATTTTTCAATATTAAATCGTCTTTTTCCCGTCACAGAAAAAAATTGTGTATTACTCACAGTAAAAATACTAGATTTGTGGTACTTTTTCCCTTGTATAATAAATAACTATTTCTTCATATCTGACAGAAGCCTAAAAAACTTATTTTCATTGAAAGAATAAATCTTAGTAGGCTTTGCTTTACTTTATTACTTCCAGAAAAAGAAGACGAACTGAAAAACACGAAATTATCAAGCGTTACTTCAAGTAATGCGTCAGATTATACACATGCAAAATCAGTTAAATTTGTTGAACAAGAAGGCTCCACGCTTAGAGATACACTCCACGTGTCAAAGCTACCACAAGGTATGATCCTCATAGTGATCCGCGATGTCCAATATTATATTTAGGTACCAAAACGGAAGAGAATCACAGAGCACATCGTATGCTACTGCTCAAGACACACTAAGTTAGCTAAGTTACTACGGTGAGATCCGCGCAGACATACACAAAGAAATGAATTTAAAACCTGAAACGTATATATATATATATATATATATATATAGCTTGGTTTATAGACAGAAATAGCCTGCCTTCATACTGGGTGTCTCAAATTCGACCCTCACCATTGACAAACGGTGCGAGATACAAATTTACCTCAAATATCTAACAACGTTATCTTTCTATAGTCGGTCTTGACTCATCGAGCAAACAATAACACAATAACCTAATGCTAAAACTTTTCCGCGATATTTAAGAATCGTATTGAATACATTGAAAACTATTATTTTATGTAACTGATAGATACAATTTAGAGCAAGTAAAAGCTTCGACACATTCCGTATTCCTCATATCTTATAAATATGTGATAAACTGTCATTTTCAAAGCCAGCTATTAAAACGTAAGCTTCTCCGAAATATCTTGACTGTGTCGATATTTGAGATATTGAGAATTTTTAGGACCAGAACTTAAAATTCTATTTGTCTGTGCAAAAATCCAATATGCCACCTTTAAGGAAAAATAAAGATGATATAGTTGGCGACGGGAGACGAGACAATATAACATATTTAAATTATGCCATCTTGTAGAGGAAAAAGTGGGAATATTAACATACTTTTTATTTTGAAATCTCGTCTCAAATAAAGCTAACAAAAAATAAAAACTATTTCGGTTTCTTTCCAATTCTCGGAATAACGAAACTTCACATATTCCGATCTCTCAATTACCTAAATGCGCAACTTTGCCTTCATTCAACCGTCCCAATGGTGAAAGTTGAATTTGAGCCTCGCCGTTATATTATTTAAATATGTTATTAATGTCAAGCATCGTCCCTGTACCTGGAAAAGGACACTGTGGTGGCCGGAATATCGTACAGTAAACAGTCATTAAAACATATGTGGTTTGATTTGGCGGCCAGGCAAAGGAGACTCCGTTAGCATTAGCATACGATAAGTTATGATTATTGGATTCTGGTGTTTGACGAATACATATTTCTAAGCATGAGATGAGTTTTTGGTAGAGATCCAAGCTAATCAGTGAGGTATTTCGGTTTCTTTTTGTAGCATCAGCCGTTATATTTCATAGCATCCTATGAGCTACAGCTTTTATTATCAATATTTTCACACAAGTTGAAATTCTGTATGGAGTTTCATAAGTTATATCATAGGACTTCACTGCGGCTCCATTTTTGCCTAAAACACTTCCATAACGAAATATCTCATGAACCAGGGAAAGAAGAGTACCCAGTACCACCGAAGCAAATCGGGTCACCAAAACCGAAGAAAAAATCTACAATAAACATTAAAGACATAATGACCGCAAACAAAAAGATATCACGAGTCAAAGCTAACCTTCTGAGATTTCCTGTCAGAAAAAAATGCTCTGAAGAAGCTAAAAGTACAGAGTTAAAAACTATCGGTAGATGCAATAAACCACACAAGAGCATGCCCGAGCTTGCAAGTGATACCAAAAAGAAAAGTACCAGCAGTGTGGGCCTTGTCAAGAATCCAGTATCTATCACTTTGCCTAAGTTCATATTGAGCTCCAGACCAACTGCAAGGGTTACGGTAAGTAATTCTGTAACAAAGACAATGAAACGAAATTTCCCTGTTATAAAAAAAAGTTGTAGCAGGTGGCAGCAATACTCGTATTGGTCTGTTTACAGCAAATGAAAAAATATTGTCAAAATTACAGATTCTACAAAATAAAAGTATGTCAACCATTTAAATAAAAACAAATATGCTAAGATTACGTCTATGTTAAAAGAACTGATATATGTATGTTACTTAGTTCTCATTTTCATATTTAAATTAAAAGATCACTCATTACCATCACATTTAGATTACTTCACAATATTAAATTATATAAGTATTTGAATTTAATACATTGAATAACAATATTAAGCAGTGTTCGAATTTAAAAATGTTTAAGATTATGTAAATTAATCTATGAATAGCCAAAATGCAAAGTTATGAAATTTTTATAGGAAATAATGATGAAAAATGTGTAAGCGAATAATTATACAAAATTGACATTGTAGCATTAATACTAAATAAATATTCAACAAACAAGCAATTGCCGTAACAGATAAAATGAAAGCAAAAACAGATTTTCTGATTACTGGAATGCTTTGAAATTGATGATACGTGGAAAACAATTCTACGTGACTCACTATATACAGGGTGGCTCATCCATGTGTGAACGGAATATTACTCATAAACAAATACATTTTGGGAAAATCTATTAATGTCATGTTCTAAATGACATTTGAGGCCACATTTCTAAAATATTACCAATTATACAGGGTGTCCCAATTTTGACCTACATATCAAAGTTGTGATTTTTCAAATGGAATGCCTCAAATTTTATTGCATATTTGGATAAACCAATTCAAAAAAAGAAGATATACTATGGGGTTTTGGTAACATGCTACTGAGATCTAAGGTGTTTTGTTCAGAAAAAATGTCCACTTCGGCAACCCCTCAATCCGCCACTTTGAAATTTGGGGTGCTGAATTTTATATCAAAACAAACGAACACACCTCAGCTTTTATCTCATTTGTTACTTTTTCGAATTTTCATTTTTGCTCATACGGGGTGGTCAAAAATGCGAATTGTACTTTTTCTCAAAATTTTCAAATGCATTACCCTGCATATTTGTGCAAGTTTGGATTAAATTTTTTGTAAGCTTTTTTTGGTATAAGGATTGATTCAGTTAAAATCACTAGATTTTGAGTTATTAAGCTTTTAATAGAACAGCACACAAAATTAAGGGAAAAAAATCACATCATATTTACCATTTCTTCTTTGAAAAAATTCATTTTCAAACACGTTTTTATTATAATGCTCGCAAAGCTACTTTTGACAGTTTGTAACTAATCAACAATTTATTTGTTTCCAAGGATGATGCGATATTTTAGGGAATTCAATAGAAGTCGTGCTAATAACCCAAAAAAATAGCCGTAAAAACCCTTATGTGTCTAGTATCAAGAAAAAGCTTATAAAAAATTGAATCCAAACTTCCACAAATATACATGCATTTGAAATTTTTGAGAAAAACTACAATTTGCGTTTTTGACCACCCTGTATCAGCAAAAATTGAAATTCGAAAAAGTAACAAATAAGATAAAAGCTGAGGTGTGTAAGTTTTTTTATACAAAATTCAGCACTCCAAATTTCAAAATGGCGCACTGAGGGGTTGCCGAAGTGGGGGGGTTTTCTAGTCAAAACACCTTATATCTCAGTAGCTAATCACCAAAACCCTATATAATTGCCATTATTTTAGAACTGTGCCCTCAAATGTCATGTATAGCATCCCATAAATAGATTTTCCCAAAATGTATTTGTTTATGAGTAATATTCCGTCCATGCAAGGATGGGCCACTCTGTATAGTGAATGGTGGTTAGGTTAATTGTTTCTAGTCCTTTAAAGTATTTGTGACTCTCTGTAAAAATTGAACCCGTGTAAGTTTTAGAACTGAAGAAACAGTTATTAGGTGATGAAACATTTCGTGTATCTCGTGTTTCCTATAATTTCGTGTCACTGTTGGTATCATTTCAGTGACAACTCTTTCCCGCATCACCATTTGTATAAATATCCTTAGGTTTTGACCAAAAGACTTCTCCCATAAATGTAAGTGTTGAATACAGTTATACATAATATTAATAACATTTTGATAACCACTAATACTGCCGTCATAAGCCAGAACTTAGCGAGTTCATTGAATGCGAAAATGAGATATCGTCATCATAATATAAAACGCACGTAGAAGAAACATAATTCGATCATAAAATACAGCATATGTCAAGATAAATACCGAAAATCTATCATTTTTATTTTACAATATCTAGCATTACAACATATTAAATGGCCCGTAATTACTATATTCTTGCTCAGAAATCATACAGATACTGTGTCTTAATTTATAACCAGAGCAATGGCGCTAGCAGATACTATAAGACATACACTTAATCACACCGAATTTATTATATTTCTAATTACTTTTCGTCGGTTTTTTACTATATTTGCAGCGATACTGTAAAAAATTGTATAGGTTATGAAACCTAACCCCTAAATAGTACGACAAAAACAGGGATGATAGGCGAAGGGTAGATTTACAACATCAAAAAATGACCCTAGTAAAAGTTTAACTGTTTTTGAGATAACATTTTTTGACTGCTTTTTTTATTTATAGATGGGCATCCTTGGTAAAATTAATGATCTCGTTAGAAAACATTCTCAGTTTTAACCGTTCACAAAAAAAAACATTTTTTTTCATTAAAACGTTACAATTTTAGCAGGATTCTCGCCGCTCCAGTAAAATGTGAAATTAGCTGATTATCTTCTGGCTTAACAAAAATACATTTATTGATTCTAAGCCTTAAGCATCGTATGTCACTCAGTGATAGAGGTGAGCGCGTCCATCATAATTTGTTTACACTATACTTTGTACCCAATTGGCACAAATAGCACAAACCGCCGCCAGAAGCGCTATAATTGAAATCACACGGGAAGATGAGAATCAAAATGAAATAACCAAAATCATCCAAAGCACAAACACAGCCATCAATTTAAAAAATGGTCTCAAGTAGGTTGACTCTACACTTCCCACGCAACATCGTTAACAATTCATAAAGGATTACGTTAAGCACAAACTAGACCCTCCTAGAACAAAGTCGGTCAAGCAGCTCCATACAATTAGTCCACAGACATTCTTTTCCTGCTCTACCGGTAGTGCATCTGGAGTCGTCGCATGTCAGACGTGGCACCGCGGTCAGAGCAAGCATAGGAAACACTGTGCTGTGACGCTGCAGAAATACGTGTGATCCCCTACCAGAACAACAGAACACTCCGCAGCCGCAGCCGGTAGGTACGGGATCCGTCTGCCGAGAATATTTTTGTGAGATTTAAGAGCTCATGTACATAAAAATCTGTGATGTGTGAAATATGTCTAAAAGGTGCGTAGAATTACCAAGGTCGGGAACGTCTTAATGTACTAACACAAAAATATTGAGATAAACCTTCCCCACCACCAAGTTTTTTTAACTCTAGATTTTTTTTAAAAAACAATCTGTGTTTTCTAAAACGCCGAAAAACGGAAGTCTGGGCGATTTTTATTTTCTTGTTTTAGATCTTTTTCTCTGCCGCGACTGGATGTTCAAAACTACAAAGCTTTTGCGACCTTGACATAGTAGTGACATTGTGTAGAAAATGCATCGAAATCCAAGCGATACTACTCACGTCATAGCGGATAGAGCAACAATGAGTGACATGATTTTTCGTAATGTACATGTCATATAACATAATATCTCATTTCCGAACTTTTTCGCGATTGCAACACTTTCTCGCCCAGTGGCGTATCAAGTAAAAAGTGAGGTTGCTACAGTGTTGATACCTATGAAGGACAAGAAAGTTATCAAGAACGTCTAATAAGGACTTGGCTGTGATTTTATTCCTCCCTAATCAGAGACATCCACAACTTTCATTGGTGGCGACCATATTGTCTAGTGAAACAAACTGCGCTTTCGTATATGTTAACAGTGTTAAAATACTGTAGTCACTACCAGTGAGAGGATTTTGATGATTAATATAATAATTGACTAATCAATACTATCCAAGATTTATATGATTCTGTTGTAGGTAAAACACGTAGCAACTCAAGATGACATCAAAAACGAGGCATGTCCAGCCTGCACCCAAGCCGTGATCGATCTAGATGACTTCTCAGTTCAAGCCAACATCCTAAACCAAACAAGTGACTTATCCGTGCAAGCAGATCAGCAGATTGATCAGAACACCCAGGAAACCAATACCGTACCCGTGTCCAGCTTCAGTAGATACACTGATACCATGAGAGAACCAGATGTCGTCCAACATACCCAGATGATGGAATATATGACTGGAAATGACCTATATTGCCTGGAGTGGGTCCGAGATTACTTGTTTGACATTAAGTTTGACCATCGGCAAATTATTGTTGGTGATAAGCTCAAGGAAGTCAGTGAAGTCGGCACAAAGGCAACGATGATATAGAGTGAAACTAAGTATCTGTCGTTGTAGTTTTGTCGAAGTTAGTCGTTATGGTGTAGTTTCTTAATGTCCTGATGATTTAAAATTGTTTTAAGTTAGCCTTTTTCTTTATCTGGAACTGAAATATACAGTACAAACAAGAGTACTTTAAAATAAACAGGTAAAAGGTAGCTATTAAACTAAGTTTAAAATACAATAAAATAGAAATAGCAAATCTATAATATATTAGCGAAGACAAATTTTTCGACCTTTATCTTAAAAAACATTGGCAATATACGTATTATAACTAGCAGGGAGCTTGTTATACAGGCTGTCCCACTTTAATCTCCCTACCTAAGTATTTCTAAAACCATGCATCGTAGAAAAAAGTTTTGAACAAAGCTTAAGGGTTTCGAGGGGGAAAGATGAAGGTGACCTTGACAATGACCCTTACCACGACCTTTAAGGTTTTCAAGATCAAGTGGACATTTTTAAACTTTGCAATCGAAGAGAGGAGGAACTTTACGTCCGAACAAGACGATCATGGTGACCTTGTTGACTATTTGCCTCAAAGTGATTTCTAGGTCTAATCAAAACTTTGAAAACAAGTTGCTCTAGCAAAAATGTTCAACAGCACAGTTGCGAGGTTTGTGGGATCACCCAAATGTGCACTTAACCATGACCTTGACCATGGCATTCAAGGTCAAATCACATTTCACAAAGGAAGACTGTCATTTTTACATTGGGAATGTTAAATTTCATGTCCGAATGTGACCTAGGTCGGTAAGTCAAGGTCATGTCAAAGGTTAAACTCTATATGAGGTCATGATCACATTGAAACCTGACATTTTCTGCTTTTATCATTCCTATGTAAAATGAGAGGTTTTTTTGGAAATTTCGATTTGATGGTCATGGTCCAGATCATGGTCAAGGTCACATTTGGGTGATCTCACAAACCTCACAACTATGCTGTTGAACATGTTTGCTAGACCAAATCGTTATGTCGTGATTTGACCTTGAAATTGCCTTTAAGGTGATAATCAAGGTCGTGGTCATGGTAATATTTTCTTAGTTTCACTGTATTTGATATCCGACACCATGTATGTCAAACATGCGCCCCCTCTCTGCTTGCGTCCCATTGAGCATTTTCCTGCGGCCCGAATCAATTTTGAATACAGCCAGATAAGTCGACCCGCGAGCCTGTCATTGCATTTTCTATTGCATGTGACGAAAGTACAGATGTGTGTGGTGTGGCGTGTGGGTACATTTCATCAGTATTTGCCGGTTCAATAACAAGAAATAAGAAAATTTACCAGTAAAATCTTGTCAATGTTGAAGTGTGAACAATTAATATTAAGTTCGTTTATGTGTTTTTTGTAATGTGCTTTTTATAGGCGATTAAATAAGTATGCCTGTCTTATAATAGTACCTTCTTTAAAATTAGGTTTCGCGGCCCATATACATAGTCTGTCGCCTCCATGCTTTTGATTCACCTGTGACTTTGAGTTTGACATGACTGCCCCATACGTTATGTTTACGTGTGCATCAAAATTGTGGTTTTGATTATACTGCATCAAAATAAGATCTGTCGACTGAAAAACCCATAAATTCTCAACCCTAAATTCATGAAATATCTAAAACTCACCCAAACCACAAGGCCACAACCCACCCTACCCTATTAAGGCCAAGTTTGATATTCTTACTTTTGATTGAACACTTTTTTAGAAGTAAAAAGTTGCGTTTTTCTGATTAAATTGATTGTATGTTGGTTCGGTACAAAATATCTTGCTAACTAGGTAGTTTTTAGTGTGCAAATAGTTCATTCTACGTTTGCTCGCTATGATCGCTGTAAGCGTCATCAAAGGCGTCCATCTATGAAGTAAAGACTCAACGACAAAGCACGCATTGTTGTTTGCTTGTTGGTTGCAGGAATCCAAGTAGCCTGTAGTGCTTAACTCTGAGAAGTTGTGAAAGAAAGTTGGTTGAGTAGCAAGACCTTATCTGGATGATTATGTGTATTGGTCTGCATGTGTAAAAAATCATTGATATTTGCTATGTGAGAAAAATAGTACTAAATATGCTGCCAATGAAATATATCTATTAGGTGTGCCTGCATAGCTCTTAAAAAATGCAAATGAAAATTAGAAAATTGACGCCTTGACGTTCGAAATGGCTCCGTCGGTACACCAGGGTAGACATAAGTTTTGGCAGCTGACATTGTTATTCTTGTCACCTAGATTGTGCAGTTGCCAGCTCGACGGACGTTTTTGCTACCTTGCTATTTTGTTAGAATGTTATAAAAAAAGAAGCTTTGAATAGAATTTTGAGGAATACCAATGGAGAAACATAAGATTTAAAGCGTAATGATGCTTGCCAAATAGCTAAATGTAATTCCGATAAATATTCCCATTGTATGTGCACTAATAAACAAAGCAAGACTGGTGGTGTTTATGTTTTATCAACATTAGTATACTAAGTGACATATAAATCCGAACACCCAGTTTAAATGGTTTTATTTTAATAAAATTTTGTATAAGTACTTAATGAAGCATAATAAGTAAATGATAAAAATTTCAAAATGATTGCACTGCTGCCCTTTGACCTTTAATAATGTGTGGATGCACCCTGATGTGCTACGCATTCTCCAACGCGCCTAGGCATGCTTCTGATCAGGTGGTCAATGTCCTCCTGTGGTATCTAAATCCAGGCAACCACCAACTCCTCTCGAAGTGCTTCTAGAGTCTGAGGAGGACGTTGCAAATTGAGCAATCTCCTACCCATCATATCCCACACGTGCCCAATTGGGGATAAGTCGGGAGATCTTGGTGGCCATGGTAACAATGTGACATCATTATGTTGAAAGAAGTCTATTGTGACTCTTGCAACATGTGGTCGGGCATTATCTTGTTGGAAAGTTGGATCTGCCAGGGTATCAAGATAGGGTAAAAGATGGTGTTCTAGAACTTCGTGGATATAACGCTGCGCGTTCATGTTACCTCTGATGAAGATTAAAGGTGACCTGGAACCATAAGCTATAGCACCACAAACCATAACTCCAACAGTGTGATGAACATGTCTTCCAACAAAAAACTGTGGATTCCTCCTTTCACCACGTCGCCTTCTAACCCTGGCAGGACCATCGTGCATGCCTAAACAAAATCGAGACTCGTCACTAAAGACAATACTGTTCCATTCCTGATCCCAGAGTGACCGTTGTCTGCATCACTCAGGGCGATTACGTCGGTGTTCTCGAGTTAAAGGGAGGACCCAGTGTGGCCGGTATGAAAACAAGCCAAAACTTCTCATTCGTCGGTAAACACTTCGCATGCCAATAGGTCTTCCGTGTTCTGCAAACCATTCATTTGCAATGGACCTGGTAGTGGAGAACAGTCCCTTAAGGCCAATAATCTTAGGCGGCGATCTTCACGGTCTGTTGCTCTACGGCGGCGTCCACTGCCCCTTGCTCTTTGCGTACGGCCTTCTAGAAGCCATGCCTGACAACACCTAACCACAGTGTCTACACTTCTTTGCACTCTAACTGCAATTGCCCGAAAAAAAAGTCCAGCTTCCCGAAGTCCCACTATACGGCCCCTATCAAACTCACTAAGTTGACGAAATCGTACAGGTCTCCGTACTCTAGGCATCGTAACCGATCGTAAAGGATGTCAAGAACCAAAATCCGCCAACGTTGATTCTTTACTGCGGCTGAAATATTCATTTTTAGAGCGTAAGTGAATTAAAAAAAGCAGTATAAAAACCGGAGTGTCCAACTGATAAGGCTGAAAACTGTTTCACTTGTTATTTACAGTAAGATAAATACATTCACCAACTTTTATTAAAATAAAACCATTTAAACTGGGTGTTCGGATTTATATGTCACTTAGTATATTTTTACGAATTATGCATAAATAGTGTGTGTCTCGGTATTTTGGGTATCATCAAGAGGAGCATGATATTTAGATATTTAAATTACAGTAAAGTACTATGCATAATTATTGACATCGCAAAATAAATTTCTATAAAATTTAAATGACTCTAAATAAAACATAATGTAATAACCTTTTAACTTCCATAAATATTCCTTTCTGTAGCATATTTTCTCACCTGTCACTTCACCAACCAGGGATTTTCTTTTCTTATCTCTCTCATTTTTGAAATTCAGCAAATTTGCATATATAATTTCCAGAATAAATTAGAAAAAGTTGTTGCGCAACTTATTCCTAGCTTTGAATACATCCCAGGTAAGTGTATTTGAGACAAGAAACAAATGGAATTATCGTCAACACAGATTATTAGCACAATAATATTCACTATGCATCTATGAACCGCCGTGTCCTTCCAGTTATACAGGATCCGTCAGAATGAACGCATGTTTTTCGAATGGGTACTACATCGAGTGGGCTGGTCCCGTGTCGGTGGGGAAGGACGTGTTGGATAGTGGGAGAATTTCCGTTTCAGTTGACAAGATGGCTTGGAACGTTGAGCATCGTGTATTCACTGTACGCCGGTACTTTCAGAATGGCGAATCTGACGTTCGAACGCAACGCGTTCAGTTTCGTGTTCCACGTCGTGGGACAGTACCAGACCGTAACACCATTTTGAGATGGGTGGAAGCATTCAACACAACAGGTAATGTGGTGAAGAAAAAATCGCCAGGGCGAAACCGAACTGTTACAAGCCCCGAAAACGTGGGCAGAGTGAGAGTTGACACGCTGCAAAGCCCGATTCGTTCCGTCCGTTTGCGTGCCAGTTTCATAGGGATCCACGCGTCCTCTGTACGTGGCATCTTGAAGAAGGATTAAGCGTTCCATCCACAACAAAACCCAAGTTTGTCAACAACTGTTGTCAGGGGATTATGCATAACGTGTTAATTTTGCACAGCTCATGATTGACAGTTGTATAAGAATGACATGACGTTGCCCCCGACAGTTCCATGAGCACCCCTTGCATGCCCCGAAAGTTACAGTTTGGTGTGCAGTAGGCCCAACGATGATTGTTGTCCCTTATATTTTTTTGAGGATGATGGAGAAACAACTACTGTGAATTCGAAGCGTTAACATCCACATGCTGAACAGCTTTCTTTTCCGGAACTTCGACGTCGACGTGTCCGTCTCAGAACAGTATCGTTCCAACAAAACGGGGCAACATCTCACACAGCTCGCACTTTGATGGAACTTCTTCATCAAAAATTCCCAGGACGTCTCATTTCACGTCATGGCGATATTCCATAGCCCCCTCGCTCCCCGGGAATG